TTCACCCTATCTTGTGTGAGTGCTCCAACTACCAGAGTACTGGATAAAAGCAGTAGGATAGTTAATGCTTCTTACTATTATTTACAAGAGATCAGGGCCCTAGGTCACTTCTCCAGGATGTAGAATTTGATTCCCCTCTCTGCTGAGAATGGGAATCTTTGTCCAGTCCCTCCAAAACTGCTTTTACTGCTTTATCGATTGTTCTCCCAACACCAAGCTCTCAGGACTCTGCACCATGCTTGTTTTGCTGTGTAATGTGCCTCCTGTAAGCTGTGAGCTTCATAGATGGAAAACTTTCTGAAGGAGTATCTTACAAGAACAATGCAACAGTTATCACCTAGTAGGATCTTTGCTTTTCCATTTGCTGAAATCAGCGGAAGCTTTTGGCTGTAATCTGAAAGTTTGCCGGTTAATCCACGTCTTCCTAATTCCACTCACCTTTTCTTTAAAAGATACCAGAGCATAGCTCCTGTCAAACAAGTTGGACTTATTTTCTGACCACTAAGGGCTTAACATAGGGCCAAAGAAGCTTCTAGTGGTAAGGATGGCTTTGCCTAAGTCCTTAGGCTTGTTGTTCACCTGCAACAGCAGATCAAGTTGGTGGCATCTAGCTTGTGGCTTCCCCACCCAGCAGACACAATCATTACAAACAACTGCTTAGGCCAGGTCACAACTAAATGCCTACCTGGAAAGTATCTCATACATAGGTGGCATCCCGAAACTAGCCTTGGCTGTGAACAGTCGTCAGGGCATCACAACTTGTGATGTGTCCTTTTCCCCCACCCTCCTGCAGAGCTGGAATGGTCAAAGCTGCACTCACCTCAGCTGACTATGGCAGATGTAGAGCTTACAGAGAATTACAGTCTGGCTCAGGCTAAAGAACTGCTGGAGGGGTGAAAACTACAAGTTTTGATGCACACAGAATTTGTCCTAATAACCTCCTAGGGCAAAGATGTGAAAGAAACCAGGATAATACTCATGAAATGTACACACAGCAAGTTACAATTTATTTCAAAGAAAACATCTTTTATTATTTTACATATGTGCTAGATCAAAGTGGCAACTCTGGAATTAGGTTGAGATTAATATGAAATCTAAAATAATCACAGCTTTTGATTTCTCTGCATGGTATGTAATCACTCTGCTACAGTGCACATGACATCTGAAACATTACCCATTTATTGAAGGGGAAAAAGACATGGCAGGATTAAGATTGGAAGAAAGGGAAAAGTAGTGTTATATGACTCCATGGATGCCAGGTTAGTAGTTGCATGTGTCCTGTAGAACAAAGAAATTTCTGGCCACTGTGTTGCTGCAGGACATAAAGACTCTCTGCTTCAGACCCAAAACAAGCTCTATCCAGCCCTTGGTTTCTTGCTGCTATTCTCAGTAGCTTGACTAAAACCCATCCATCTTTGCAAGATGCAAGGATCAGGTCCTCACCCTGTGTGTTGCATAAGGCAGTGCACCATGTAAGGATTAAGGTATGAGATCAGAAGTGAAGTCCCCTCTCCTGCTTAGTCCCAGAACCTGCACAGAAGTAAGCTTGCTCCAAAGCAGAGAGATACAGCTTCAGAAATACCACTTCTGTGCAGTGCATGAGACAGAGGAACAGCCACACTTGAAGCTAATTCCAGGAAGCTGCAATTCCAAGGGAAAAGGATTTCACTGAATTCTAGCAATAACAGATGTCCATAACTGAACTGCCTGCACAGCACTCTAGCATAAAACTCATGGGACACAGGAGACCTGGCAAGCACTTCCAGAATCAAGTCAGTGTCCAAGGGCAGCTGGAGAAGCCAGATTTCCCACTCCATCCACTGGGTCCATGCAATTCCTAGGCAGGGACTTGGACAAAGTGCACTGTTTCAAGGGGCTGAGAAGGGGAAGAGGGGAAAGGTCTTCGTGTTACTCAGACCAAGGGCAATCCATCTGGCTAATTAATGCACAGAGCAACAAGCAGAGTCTTTTATGCAACCTTGATTGGCACTAACAGGGGAAAGGCTACAAGATTCTTCTAGATTCCTTCTCCTCCCTTCTGTCCAATTTAAGCTTGCAAGCAAAGCAGTTCTTAACTTCCTTATCACTGAAGTTCTTCCTACACATTTTTAAGACTCCTAGAGAGCTGTGTCGACACTAACATGATGAAAAAAACCCAGTCTGGAGCTAAAAGCAGATCTGGAATCTGAAGCAGCTTCACATCAGTTAGCTCACCTCCACAGCTGTTCCAAAGACACAGATGCCTGGCTCACTCTCTGTGCAAATGCTAACCTCTTCCTCACTTGAAGGAGGTGCTACCTGCCTCACTTCTGGCTGAGATGTGCCATGAGTGCCAGAGGAAATTACGCAAAATTCTGCTGCATGCTCCTTCCACAAAGCCACTGCTTAGCCAGTGCAGCGGCTCCGTGTGGAACAGCTGACAGCAGTGCTGTACCCCTCGGGGAGCACTGCTTCAGCAGCACCTGCTCTTTGAGTAATTGGCACCACAGTTTGAACAAGGAACAAGGCACAGCTCTGCCAAAGGCTGCTGCACACACGGATGGACAGACATCAGTACTTCTGCAGGGAAGCACTGGCCACGCTGAAGGTGTGGCTCGCACTCACTGCCAGCAACCAGCTCCCTGTGGCCTGTAACCATGGCCCAGAGGACTGTTCCCACTGAATCCATTGAAAGTTACCACCCAAGACAGCACACACTGCAGACAAACAGAGCATTCCTCTTTCTGCACTGGGTGGCACTTCTGAAAAGCAACACTGAGGGACACCGGAGCCAGTTTATGAATAAATAGGGTTTGGAGCTCCAGTTCCAGGCCTTGCATGCTGCGTCCACAGCACAACTGTGGCTGTGGAGATGTGCTAGAAGCTAAAGGACCTTCCTCATGTTCTATGCAAAGTCCTTCCCTGCACTTACTCTTCTGGAAACTGGAGACAAGCCCTTGTCTTGTGCAACTAGATGAAACGGTAACTTCTTTTTCTCTCCGGTGAAAGGCACAGGATTCAAATCTGTGTTCCTCACATTACAGCTGCCTTTAGAAGCAGCCAAGCAATTCTTGTCCTGACAAAACAAAGGAGAACCCCAGGTAGTGCTAAGTCAGGAAGAAACTTCTTCCCGCTATGGATTGCATAGGAGGAATTTTCATGCAAAGAGGTATTTTTCTGCTCCTATTCATCAAGTAAGGGATAGAGAAAGAAGCCACAGAGAAGGAGCTCTTTTGCCTGTGCCACTGACAGAGCACCTAGTCCCCCTCAGATGCAGAGCCTTGCATAACACAAGAACAGAGCCTGCTCTGCTGTGGCCTTTCTAGGAAGATACATCAGTATTGATAGGATGGAGAGCTACTGAACATGGATGCTGAGATTTGAATTAAGAACAACTCAGACTCCTGTGCAAAGCATTTTGTTTGTACCCTGTGTATGGAACTGCCTGGTAAAGCAAGAGGGAGGAAAGAAGAGGCAGAGCAGACCCATTTCTTATCTTTCAGTGTGGTGTGAGCTGAGTATAACAAGGAACATCAACTCAGATGTGTTGGCTCCAAGGCTTTTCATCATATACAGACTCATCTGAGCTTCAAAAATCACAGTGCTCCTCTGAAATTAAGACACTCCTTGCTGAGCAAATCTTTCACATGAGTTTCTCATGCAATGCTTGCTCAGCTTCTCTGGAATGTCTAAGGAGACACAAGTCTAGATCCTTCTCTGGATATCCTGAGCTAGGAGAACAGAGGTGATAGATAGATGTCATTAGGGATATGGAAATGTTCCTGGGCAGGCAAGTCCCAGCTGCTAATTCATGTTAGGGGGACTCTACCAGCATGTTACAGGAAGAGGAGGGAATAGAGATCAGACCATATTGGGTATCCCTGAGCTGCAAAATACATGAGGGATGAGAGAAGAGAGGAAGTGAAAGACAGAGACATTTGTATTCTTAATGATGAAGACTGGCAATTTGGGTCTCTGGTACCATCCTGGCTTGATGATCTTCTCTTTCAATCCTTGCATGCAAGGAAGGAGCAAAGGTGTGAACTGTGACTCTTTCTGTTTGGCCCTTGTTCCAAAGAAGGGCTCCTCTGGGAAGCTGTGCCAGCTGGAGCAGGTGAATATTCCTTGCAACAGCTGGGATCAGGGTGGGTGCCAAAAGAACCTCCTGCTGCAGCACTGAGTTCTGGGCAAAGACAACTCTGGAAATTCAGACTCTGTGGCAGTTTCCTCTGCTACCGAGAGCAGGCTGCTGGCTCCCTAGTGGGATGTGAAAAGGCAGGAGTGTCCACAGAATGCTAAACAGGGGGGAGGGAACAATATAACTTTCACCTCAGCCCTGCAGCAAGTTGCTCTGGCTACTGCAGCTTCCTCTGAGGGGCCCTGCCTCTCTGTAGCTGCCAGAGGACTGTAAAACAGGACTTTGTTTCAGACTGACAGTGATGCAGTGGCAAATCCCCAAGCAAACAGAATTTGTTAAAGTCCATAGGCACTTATTCTTCACAAGGAGAATGTTAAGACTTAAAGCCTTCTCTTGGCACAGTGCCACCACAGCACAGCTTCTGGTGTGCTCACGTCAGACTGGACAAACAGCACATTGTATGAATGGTACATTGGCTGGTGGTGGCTCCTTGCACAGGGAAGATCTTCATCCTCAAACACATCGCCAAGAGGAGGGTGGGCTTGCCTGATCTTTGCACACAAAAGGTGGAAAAGAAAGAACTCTGATAGCTGAACAAAACTGGGATTGCTAGGACAAGCCTTCTCCTTATATCCTGTTTCCATTATGGCTCAATTATTGATGGCAGCAATGTACGGTCACAGTTGAAAGCCTGCAGGCAGCTGTCAGGATTGCAGATGAGTATCAACACAAGTAAAGGGCTTTTAGTGCTGCAACAGGGAATTTTCTTTCATGCTGGCTAGATTAGAAGATCACCCCATGTCTCTTCTCCATTCTTCCCCTCTCCCCTTTCCAGTACATAAAATCCCTGACAGTAGATCTTTAGGCACACCTGTCTGAACCCCTAGCTCCAGTTCTCATTCTTGAAAGCAAGCTGCACAGCTTCATTCACATCCTGCACTATGTAAGATGGCTCCATCAGGCTGGGGTCGAAGCAGAGGTCCCGATGGCCGTGGAACACTGTCTGCGCCGTACACTCCTCCCTTTTCCTGGGAGCATTGGCATCGTGGCGGTAAACCCCAGTGCAGACCAGAATCGACACACAGCTCTCCACTGAATTGTTGCAGTCCTTCCTCAGCTCAAGGTAATCCTCAGTTTGGGGACCAGCTGCCTGTGGGCTCCTCTTCACGCCAGCCTGGACCTGGTTCTGGTGAGCTGACTTCAGGTAGTTGTTGTAGAGGTTTGCCCCATAGATGTCAGACATAAGGTTATCCCTGGATAAGGTCACAGTGTGAAACAGAAATGAGAAACTAGTCCATGCATCTCTCTGTCTTTGGCAGACTGGGATTAAGACAGCACAGGAGGAGGAAGGGGTGTGAGATATTTGCTAACATCAAGAGGACGACCCAGACTGGGCTAGTGAGTCCTCCTACCGGTGTGTCCTGCTCAGGCCACATGCTTCACAATCATCTTCCGAAGGGGAGACAACACACCTAAAGCACTCACAGCAGTTTCAGCCACTACTGTCATGTATTCCCTATGTTCCCAAAGTGTTTGGCCTAACTGGGCCAATGGTATTACATCTGGGTCTCTTGACTTTGCCTTTGATCCAGCCATCCTTAAATGCACGCTGCATCCTACAGCAAACAGCTTTGCTAGGCTGACACAGGGCCTTTCAAATGACTAAAAATGTAAGGTGTAGCAAGCTAGGAAGCTTCTGCTCCAGAGTGTGAGGCTCCAGAGACACCTTGGGGATTTGGGTATTCATTTTAGAAATATCCAGTTTAAAACAAACCACCACAAGTCAAAGAGAAGTCAGTATGCAACTCCTTAAGGAAACCAGCAAGAAAAACAGTCTTACCCAACTGCATAGAGGCGTTGGATGGGACCCTTCCAGCCCTGCTTCTCTGCCTGCTGCTTTATCAAGTACTCGGCATAGCGGTAGGTGACTGTGCTGGGTTTGCCAATCAAGGCCTCATACTTCAGTTCCTTGCCTGTCACCTTCTTGTAGATGTTCTCCAAGCAGAGAAGGAAAGTGCCATGGCCAAACCTGCTCCAAGAAAGAGGTCATCAGTATCCCCAGTCACACCACTGAAGTAGCAAGCACTTCTCGGCGAGGAGAAGCATCTGCTGTAGCCAGGTTACCACCTAGGTTGGACATGGTGTCTACCCACACACAACTCCACAGGCAGTGGTCTGGCTTTTGCTTCTGGAAAGCATTACCTTTGTTTCTCATGCAGTTTTCATCTCTCTGCTGATAATTAATTGTATGGCACAAACTCTAAAAATATTCAGATGTAGCAGGAAAAGATCATCTGCAGGAGAGGTGTATGAAATAGGCTAAAACAAATATCACACATGCTTTTCACCTGGGCATCTTGGCTTCAGCCATCCACAGGAGATCCATGTTGCAGGCAAGGATAGGCAGATGGGGGTATGGTACATCTCGCAGCTCTGCACCAGGGTTCCCATTGCTCAAGAGCACATCAGTAATAAGTTGCAGGCTTGTCTCCCACCTCACTGGCTCACCGAACAGAATCACCCCTGGAAGATTTCAGGGGATGTCTGGAAACCCACAGCATCCATGTATAGGACCCACTAACAAAACCACTCTTCTGCTAGGATGCCTTGGCCAGTGCAGCTACCACTGGAATACAGCTGGTGCCAGGGCTCCAGTCAGCACATCACTGCACCATGAGCACCACTGGTCCCAGATACTGGAGCATGGCTCAGAGAAAAGTTGGGTTTGCTTTTATCCAGCTTGTACTTCACACTGCATGAGGGCAGTGAGGCTGGCTCCTGACTGTATCCTCTGAGCATGCTGCCCATGGATACCGGTGATCTGACAGCACGTCATTAGCTCCCAGCCCAGCTGGTTTGCCCTGCTGTTATTTCTGCTTGTTGCTCATATGTAAACAGAGGCTACTGCTTACCTTCTATAGTGGGGAAGCCAGTGGTTGGAGGAGGCTGTCAGAAAAAAAAATGAGGCTGGATTAGTAATGCAAAACCTAATGCTATCTCCAAAACAAAACTAAAATGCTTCCTTTGAATCTGCCAAGGCAGTTCCATAAAAAGGCAGGACAAAGCCACCTGGAAGCCTGAAGAAAGACTTCCCCCACCCCTTCATCCCAGATGGGATTTCACAGATCTTGCACTCTGGTCTCAGAGCTGGAAATGTCAGCCAAAGCATTTTACCACTCACTGCAAAGAAGAGCGAGGAAAGACATGAGAAAGGAGAAGGGAAAGTCATTGCCCTTCCAGCAGGAGCCAGTGCTCAAAGAGCAGAGAGATGCTGGCTGCCTGCCCTTCCAGCTCAAAGAGCAGAGAGATGCTGGCTGCTCATATCAGTCCCAGGCTCTCAGGGAAGTGACCAGCAGCCAGCTGCTCCGTGTCTCTGCAGCTTCCCCACCCCCTGCTCTGTGCTGGAAGCACCACACACCAGTTCCACTGATGCCTCAGGAAATTACCAGTTCTTTGGGCCTCCGGCTCTGATCCACCATGTCCAACAGGGGATATGCTTTCCTCAGGGCCTCTATGGTGACCACATGCTTGAACCCCAGGCTATTTCAGACCGTCAAGGAATGTTGTGGAGACTGTTGTGTTTAAGAGACTGTTTAAGGTACTTGCAAAATCATCTACAGGATTAAGGAACACTAGTCCTAATAACAGAGCAGTAATTTAATGTGGTAATGCAAAACCTCATGGCTTTCAGTCACAGTGCTTCAGGGTGTGGATGGCCCTAAAAGTTACAAAAAGACCCAACAGACTGGGGTGATCCAATAGCAAGCCCTGGAACTGGGCAAAGAGCAGAGGTTGCCACTCCAAGATAGAATAGATGTGCTCTGGGAGACCTTTATGGCCAGGGTTCTCATACAGGTGCAGCACAGAGGACTGACTGGTGAGGCTTCTAGAGGCAGATTTTAGAGGCAGAATCAGTAAAGGTCAGCTCAGCTGGTGCAAGGAAAATGGTCTGTGCTGATAAAAATATGCAAGTGAAGGATGAGTTGCATTTGCTTGCAGAACACTTTGCCCTAGCTTGCCCTGTGGGCCTTGGGGAAACACAGAGAAGGACCACGTTTTTGTACCACACGAAGCTAAACGTTGAGTACAGGATGTGACTCTGTGTGTAGAGACTGAGATGCTGGAAATGCTGGTACAGACATGGGATATGTCAGACTGGCTGTCCCCTCACCCCAGCCAAGTAAGATGCACGTGGGTTTGTAATTTACACCACTTCCCTGGAGTGAGATGCCCTGACTCTAATTGTATTTCATAGAATCATGGAGTGGTTTAAAGACCATCTAGTTTCAACCACTCTGCCACTAGACACCCTTCCACTAGACCAGATTGCTCAAAGCCCCATCACATTTGAGTTCCTACAAGTGTTGTCAGATTGCTGGGGAAAACCTTATCCAGCTGGGAGTGAACTCTAATGGACTTTGCCATGAAGGAGTGGGAGGAGCACAATTTTATCGGTTTAAAAGGGAGAGAGGCCCAAAGCTGATGGAGTCCTCACGGTGACATCCCAGCAACAGGAACAGCAATCACAGGAGAGGTCACCGGCACGAGAAGCCAAGGACTGAATAAGGACAGCCAGGAGGTGACCCAGCTGGAGATTTAGTGCCTGCATTCGAGTCACTCCACGAGGATGTTTCCCCATAAGATAAGACCAACGACCTTTCTGTCTCCTTGTGTGCCCAGAGTGAGCCGAGCAGGACACGCCGAGCAAAGGATACTTGCGGGCGTTCTCCTCCACGGGCCCCTGCCCGGCCAGCAGCATGCACCGGTGGTGGAAGCGGCTGAAGAGCTGCAGGGGACTGTGCGACAGGACCACCTGCTCCGGAGACACCTGCGGGAGGGAGGACAGACCGGCCGGGAACCGCAGGTAGCACCGACCCCGTCCCTGCGCCCCTCGCCCCCCTGAGCACAGTACCTGCAGCCCCAGCGCCCGGGACAGCTCCGCGGCCTTGGCCGAGCGCAGGCAGTTCCCGGCGTTGGTCAGGAAGA